GCAGCTCTTTGACCTCAGATGTTTTGGTTTTTTTTGGGGTTGAAAAGTTATTTTTTATGGTCGTGAAGGGACGTTCAGAACAAATATATAGGCTTAATATTTTCTGTTTTCTGTCAGAGATGTGAGATGAGTTTTTATTTTTATCTGGATAAATGTATGAGATTTGGCTCAGAGAGAGAGATTAGGACAGACATGTTAATGATTTAGGATGAGAACAAAGAAAAAAATATATATTTTTAGCAGAAACCCTTTTCATTCTACAAATGTGGTTTTGAGGCCAAGAAAAAAACATAATTAAAATAAATAAATAAAAAATAATGCTTAGTGCTCAGAGCCAATTAGATTCTGTTTTGATTTTGACATAAATGGATCCAAGTGTGTGACAAACATTCAGATTAACAGCAGATGTTCTCGTCCTGCCCGTGTTCTAACAGTCACGTATCCCACATAAGAGGTTTAACAGAGAGAATGTGTATTTATAGAATATCAGTGGAGGGAAAAGAAAAGGGATTTTATTTTTTATCTGACTGCAAAAATAAATGAAATGAAACCAGGTTTTAAATCGAGTCGTTGTGTTGAGCGTCAACTACCAGTAAAGATCATTGACCAGGTCTGTGGTTCTCAAACTATGGTGTGGGTACCACTGGTGGTACTTGAGCTCCCTCCAGTGGTACTCTGGGTAATTTTTTATTTTTTTTATTTGTCAGTGTGTGGGAGGGTTTAGTGTGAGGTTTGAATTAACCTTTATTTTTAAAGTGTTGTTTTTTGTGGAATTATATCTTTTAACTTTGACTTTTGAGTTTGAGTTTATAGAGAAGATTGTGTTTTGTTAATTTTTCGTTATATTTGTTTTTCCAGTCGTCTTCTTTTTTTTTTTTTCCTGTATTTTACAGCATTTGGTGAGACATAGATGAGACTTTTTTATTGTTATATTTGTTTTTCCAGTCGTCTTATTTTTTTTCCTTCCTTGGTTGACCTGCAGGAGGCGACAGTCATATGTAGCATCTGTATCAGTGCTGTACAACCTAACCTGCTGCTGATGCCAACCACACAGGACACACAAACACACATTTGAGAAGTGGTGCTCTTGGCTGGTGGCAGGCCCGGTTGCCGTGGTAACTGCAGGGTGAGGTCACCGGCCACTGCAGCTCCAGAGCTGGGACTCATCACAGCACACCCCCCACCCCCCACCCCTCTCTCTGTTTTTTTGGAGGTTTTTTTTCAGTTCTTTCCTCACCTCCTCCTCACCTGTCTCTTTCTTCCTCCCTGTGACTGTTCCACATCTGGCCACTAGAGAAGGTAGAGCGAGGGAGGAGAGACAGACTAAAAATTTCAGTCACTACTGTTTGTTAAATGAACAGAAGTGTTTAGAAAACTGAGGACCGATTTTGTCTGAACAGCTGCCTTTATTTTTAACTATTGTTTTTGCAGCTGTGCAACAATTCTTTTGCCTATTTTTCATCATTATTTTTTGCTGCTGGTCGGAGTGTTTTTTTTTCCTCTTAACTGTAAAGAGTTGATTGTCTTTGTGCTGCAGCCAGAAAACCTCCTCCTGGCCAGTAAGATGAAGGGAGCATCGGTGAAACTGGCAGACTTTGGTTTGGCCATCGAGGTGCAGGGAGACCAGCAGGCCTGGTTTGGTGAGAATCCTCCTCTGTTTTCTTCCTGTGTCTCTGATAAATGATAAACAGAAACTGAGAGAAAATGAAGTGAATGTCTGATGTGGTGTGACTCTGTGGACGTCGGACCAGGGGGAAGTTACCAGGCACCAGCAACAGAAAAAAGAAAATGGTGCAAAAACAAATTATTGTACAGCAGTACTTCAGTCTGTTACAGTTGATCCTGATACTTTTTTTCACTCAACACATTGATCTAAACAGTAAGTGACAGTGTGAAGGTCAGAGATGAGAACCATTTTAGACCATGATTCTCAGCTACTCCATGATTTCTTACTCATTTATAACTAAATAATTATAACTATTATTATCATTATTATAGTGATAATAATGATAATAGTGATTATTCTTATTACAATAATGATATGTAAATACTAATAACCATTATTATCAGTATTATTAAAGTTTCATTATTATTAATATAATTATTAAATAATTATAATACTTTTAAAAATATTATTATAATTTATACATTCAGATGATAAAAATGTGGATTTTTTTTTTCTTTCGTGAATTCCCAGGTTTTGCAGGAACTCCAGGGTACCTGTCTCCAGAGGTGTTGAGGAAGGACCCGTACGGCAAACCTGTGGACATTTGGGCCTGTGGTCAGTGAACGTTACAGTCTCTGGAAAAGTCCGACTGCAGTTAAAACAGTCACACACCTTTTTTTGTTTTGTTTTTCACAGTTCATTCAAACAGACTGTTGTGTGTGTGTGTGTGTGTGTCAGGTGTGATCCTGTACATCCTGTTGGTGGGCTACCCTCCCTTCTGGGACGAGGACCAGCACAAACTGTACCAACAAATCAAGGCCGGTGCATACGATGTAAGTCACACTGATTTTTTTATTTATTTATTTTTCTTTAAATCTATATAAGACGTGACGGAGGTGACGGTACGACGCCGGTGGCAACACTGTCTGTGCTGCAGCCGGAGCCTCATCCTGGGTTTATTTCCATTTCCAAACATGAGTCAGACTTCCACTGTGCTTGCAGCAGTGTTTTTACCAGAGACCAGGTGATGTAAATACCAGCGTCGGCAGAAACGCCACCTGGTGACGACACCTTTAATAAAACACTGTTTCCAGTTAGTCTTCCTGAGAATGGTATGTTAGGACATGAAGCTGTGGCTTTGTTTCTTCCCCCATCGAGTACATTCACACTTTTCATTGTCCTTCACGTGTTTGTGTGAGAAATGACGCCTGCTGTTTGTTACGCACCAACACTTCCCGCTCTTCTTGCTTTCACAACTCCATCTTTTTGTTTCTTACTTTCGTTCCGTTTGAGCTACAAAAAAAAAAGAGTCCGGCTCACTAGGGTGTTCAATCCGGCCTGCTTGATTAATGTTGAAAATAAGAAAAATACACAAACACTTCAGGTTCAGGATATTTTAAAAAGATAAACACAACTGTATAACGAACTTTTTGTTGCCCTGAAAAAAATTTTCAATGATTTCTCAGGAAAGTTCTTGGAAAAAAACAAAACAAATAGTGCGTCTTCCACTGAGGTGAAACACAGGTCACAGGAGAGATGGTCTGGTAATGTGATCTATTATTAATATAAAAATATTGATCCATGCAGCTCTAATAAACGTTCCTCTTTTATGGAGCTCGTATTCCTCGGCTGCTGCTTCACCTGTCGCTGAAACCCAAAATCTAATTAATGCCAAAGGAGAGAAAACACACTGTGGAATTCTGTGCAGCAAATAATCCAGAAATTAATTTTCTATTCTTTTCCCCTTTTTCTTAATTGCTCACTTCTTGTTCTGGCATTTTTTTTTTTTGTATATTCACTGTTGTAGGCAATAAAAGTCAAACACCAGCGGAGCTCAGTTTATCAGATGGTGTCGTCGTCTTCAGGGAGATGGGAGTTTAATATCCGTATTAATTTCCATAATTGCAAGCAACCGCATCTAATGAATGTGCATAATATGAAGGGTTTATATGAAAGGACTGAGATGAGCCGGGGTAGTAATCTGCACGTCCTGAATCTCAGCGTTTCATCATTCATACCTTCACTTTACACTTTCTCGTTTCAATATTTTTCTTACATAATTGAGAAAAAATAAAAAATGTAAAAACACAAATTCACTTCTTTTTTTTTGTTTGTTTCGTAGTAACACGTTTGGTGTCGATTGGGTTCAACTCTTTTTTTTCTTTTTAAATCATTTTTTTTCCCATTAAATTCTATATAATAGATACAGAAGGTAACGTTCTTCTTCCTCCTCCTCCTCCAGTTTCCCTCCCCAGAGTGGGACACTGTGACCCCCGAGGCCAAGAACCTGATCAATCAGATGTTGACGATCAACCCCGCCAAACGGATCACGGCCGACCAGGCTCTCAAACATCCGTGGGTCTGCGTAAGTCAGAAACACCACTCCTGTTTTTCACCTTTTATTTTTCCAGAACATTTGATTTGTGCTCAGACTCAGATTTGTGAAAAATTATAGTCATAATTTTAATAAAAAATAAAATTCCCACTTCTATTTCATAACTTTGAGAGATCAAAGTGCACCTCATGCTTTGAAAACCCCTGCCCTGGACAGTTGTTTTATTGAACTGGTTAATTTATTTCCAGTTGAATCTTTGTCTCTTGATGACTTTTGATTTTTAGCACATTTGTGAAAAATGATAGTCAGAATTTTTATTAAAAATAAAATTCCCACTTCTATTTCATAACTTTGAGAGATCAAAGTCAGATGCAGTAACGTAAAAAAAAAACATAAGGTTTTTGTATTTACTGTTAATTATTCAAACACATGCATTCGTAGTGACTCACAAACGAGTGTGTGTATGTGTGTCTCAACAGTAAATACTGTAGTAAGAAGGAGAGAGTAAACATGTTGTTATTGATCCTGAATCAATACCCTGCTATCACAGTATTGATACCTTCACAACTGATCTGCCCCCAGTGCCGTTAAATACCACTGGGTGGCAATGTGAAATCGAAGTTAACGGCCTTAAAAAAACAATTTATGTTTTATTATTAGAACAATAAAAAAAGGCAAAAAGTGTAGAGAAGAAAACAGACACGTAAGGATTTATTATTTTTGATTTTTATTATGATTAATTACGATAAATTAACATTACTAAATGTGACCTAGAACACGTGTCTTAATTAAAACATAAATACATAACTAACACAGTTAAATATTAAATAAATCAATATAAATCAATAACTTGATTCTTCACTTCATCGACTCTGGTCTCTCCTCACAGCAACGCTCCACTGTGGCGTCCATGATGCACCGTCAGGAGACTGTCGAATGTCTGCGCAAGTTCAACGCCAGGAGGAAACTCAAACGTAGCGTCTCACACACACACACACACACACACAGACACACAGTAAAATCAGTTCTTTAACCCAGTCACGTGTGGATCTGTTGTGATATTTAATTTTCGTGTCTTTCCAGGGAGCCATCCTGACCACGATGCTGGTGTCCAGAAACTTTTCAGGTGAGTTCGGGTTTTAATACCGATCATAAAATCACAATAATTGTTTGGTTTGTGCCGTCCCACAGTAGCACCACGCCCCCCATTTTGGGAACCACTGGTTTACCCATCACTTTACTTTTATTTAGCTCAGATACTCACGTGGAATTACATCCTGTTACCAAACATCTCATTTGTTTTTGTTTTTTTTCTTCTTCTTAATCTTCTGCATCACACTCCATTATCCTCCTAATCTGTTTACATATTTATTCGTGTTCCTGCTTCCCTCACGGCTAACAGCTCTGTCTGCAGTTTATATAGATTTTCTGTTTTTTTTTTACCCATCAGGGATTTTTACTGTCTCCATGTGAGCAGACACACTTTGTGGTCTGGACCTGCGCTAACGCCGGGCTAATGCATTATCGCTACGAGCTTTTTGTTTACATGCCTTCGTGTAGAGTAAGTAACGCAGTGGTGGTAGATTACTGTGTGGGCGACCGGTCCAGACTGTAGAAGAGAGAAGATGGGTTCTGGTCGTTCTAGATCTTTCTGTCCGTTGCATCGTCAGCGAAGCCTCTCTGGACACAGAGGGAGAGAATTCAAAATCTGTTGTTAGCCCCCAAAATAGCGAATTAGCTACGTTAGCTTTTTAGGCACGGTGCTACTGCACACCCACGTGTCTCTAGGTGTGAAGGCGTTCCGGCAATGAAGGCATCATGGCCCCTCCTGCTGGTTTTCCATGTGTAGTGCGTCAGTCAGATACAGTAGTTTTACTTTAGCTCGATGTTGAGCAGATGCAGCTGAATGTCAAAGGGCAGGTGGGCAGTTAGTTGAGGAACGATTTTTTGTGAAGCTCATGTCCCACCTGTGGACCCACATTAAATCCCTCTCTGTCCACTAGTGGGACGGCAGCACACCAGCCCTGCCGCCACCACCAGCACGGCCGCAATGGCACAGGAAGGTACGTCCGCTGTAGAGGGTCTTAGCCTGGAGTCGGGCATGAAGCCTGAGCTGCTTGAACCCCCCCCCCTCCACCTGTTGCCTGCTGCCTGCTCACTGACGGACGACCTGTGATAGGACAATGACGCATCTCAGAAACACACAGACATATGTCAGAGGGAACCTTGAACCTTAGCTGTCAGGATGCTGCGTTGTCGATGACGTCCAGACTCAGA